AAAAATAAAAAAATAAAAATAAAGAAAGAGAAAAAAAAAATCAGTGGAGGACAGGGCAGAGCACCCAGGCTCTGTCTGAGCACAGAGACTGTGATGGAGTTCCTGTGGGCCCACAAGGTAGGTGGGAGTGGGGGGTGGCCACACCTCCGATCACCAAGGGGGTATAGGGTATGAGAGTAACAAGAGAAACGTCGTACCTTTTCAGTCTTGCAGGTCCCGAGTGTCCTTGGGGTTGCTGGAAAGCAGAATGTGTTCTTAAGCCCCAGGAATCTGCAAGATTCTTTAATTATCCAAAATATCTTTAAATATCCAAAATAGTCAAGCTGCTTTTTAAACCTTCAAAATGGCAGCACCCTCCGACCGACAGAAGTCCACAGTTCAGCCCACCTTTCTCTTCACCTTCTCCGTTTGTTCCCCAGCCACCGTGCACAGTCCTCCGTGTAGTCCTTGGCTAGCAGGGTGCTTTTTAGGTTAATTCTTAGGTCCTACCACCACTCAGGAATCTCCAAGCTGTCTGTGCCATCAGGATCGCTCAGGATCGCTGCCAGACTGTGGCTCCGTATGTCTCCTTTTTTGGTATTTTCATGCAAATTCTTCTGCTAGTTAGGGTTTAGTCCACTTCTATATCCTTCCCTTTAAGGCTCAGGGGTCCAAGATTATCTTCTGTGTCTGTGTTAATTGGTTTCCCCTTTCTTTGTTGGAGAGGGTCTGTGCAATCTTTCTGCCTAGTCTGCCATCTTGCCGGAGTCCAGCCTAGAAGTTTTTAGCACATCCCTGACAAGTATGTACACAATAGCTACTATGGATTGATTGCTAATACAGTAAAAAAAAAAAAATTTCATTCAGTTAATATTTCCCTTGACATATCTTTGTCCCACAACCCATCTGGCTTTTTTCCTATGGCCTCTTCCCCCTCAACCTTCAAATATTCTTGAGTTCTCCTCCTTTAAACAGATACAGGAAGGCACTTTACAAGGCTATCCAAATTGCCAATATGCATATTAAAACACAATCAACTCCATTTTTATAACCAGAGAAATACAATCATAAACCACTACACCAGTTACCAGATTGTTGTTGTTGTTTGCCATTGAGTCGGCCCCGACTCATAGCGACCCCTCCTTGGGTTTCCGAGGCAGTATCACTACAGAAGTAGGAATGCCCAACCTTCCTTCCGAGGAGTGGCTGGTGGGTTTGAACCGCCAGCCTTCTGGTTAGCAGTCAAGTGCCTTAGCCACTATGCTACCAGAGCTCCTTAGTTACCAGATAGGAGAAACTTAAAAACAGTGACAATACTTAGTGTTGGCAATGATGCAGGGAAACAGAGGCTTTCATACATGGCTGATGAGAGTATAACTTTCCATAGTGCACCCACTATGGAAAACTGGCAATATCTCTTAAAAATGAACATACATTTCTTTACTCCATGACTCAGAAATTACACCAAAGGATATTTACAAGAAAATTCTTAATAGCCAAAAACCGAAAACAACAAAGATACATAAATAGTGGTATATATATACAATGGAACACTAGACATCAATGAAAATAAATGAACCACACTTACATCAGTGACACACTCTAGAGAAAAAGAAGCCAGACAAGAAAGAAAATATAGTGCAATTCTAATTTTACAAAGGTTTAAAACAGGCAAATCCAGTGTATGATATTAGAAGCTGGGATAGTGGTTACCTTTGAAGAGTGTCTTAGTTACTAGTGCTGCTGTAACAAAAGAAGCACAAACGGGTGGCTTTAACAAACAGAAACTTATTTTCTCATGGTTTAGGAGGCCAGAAGTTTGAATTCCAACTCTAAGGGAAGCCTTTCTCTCTCTGGAGGAAAGTCCTTTCTCTTCTGAGCTTCTACTCCTGGGCAATCGTCATGTGGTGGGGCATCTTTCTTCTCCCATCTGTGATTCTTCTGTTTGCTTATTTTTGTCTTTTGTGTCTGAAAATAGACTGACTCAGGATAAATCCTGCCTCATTAATGTAACAAAGACAACCCACTCCCAAATGAGACTATAACCACAGGCTTAGAGGTCAGGATTTAAAACATGTATTCCGAGGGGACACAATTCAACCCATAACAAGAGAAAGGAGGGGAGAGTTACTGGGAGGAGTCCCTGGGTGGTGCAACTGTCTAATGAACTTGGTTGCTAACTGAGAGGTTAGAGGTTTGTGTTCACCCAGAGGCACCTTGGAATAAAGACCTGGAAGTCTATTTCTGAAAAAGCAAGCACTGAAACCTTAATGAGCACAGTTCTACTCTGACACACATAGGGTCAGTATGAGTTGGAATCACCTTGACAGCAACTGGTTGGCTGGTTAGTAATTGGAAAGTGGCATGGGCATGGGGTATGTTTTGGGATGTTGGTTATATTCCATTTATTGATCTGGGTGGTTGTTCCATGAGTGTGTACACTTTGTGGTAAACCACTGAGCTGTATGCATAGTATTCGTGCACCTTTCTGTATGTTTATTATATTTTAATTTAAGTATTTAAAAAAGAAAAAAGAGAAAGCTCAAGATACCACAGCTAGCTTCTCTTCAGCTTGGGGTTTGTGGCCAGGATAATCTGAGTCTTCAATTTGGTCGGGTCTTTCTCTCTGATCTCTTCTGATGTCATTTCCTTTCTTATAACTCTTCCTCTGGAGTTGCCACACTGTGAGAGGCTACTTCACAGAATCCTTAATGCTAGGCTAAATTCTCCTCTTGAAGGAATCTTTTTTTTTTTTTTTTTTTAACTTGGTTTTGGAGACACAGTCTTTTCTGAATTGGTCTTCTTTATACCTTTTGGATCATGCTTTTAGGTTAGTGTTAAGGATTGAATTGCATCTTTCCAAATTATGTGCCACCTTGGCTAGCCATCATTCTCAATATTATATATAATTATCCTCCATTTTGTGATCTGATGTAATTATCCTGTGTTGTAAATCCTAACTTCTATGATGGCAATGAGGCAGGATTAGTGGCAGTTATATGAATGAGGAAAAATACAATTTATAGGATTAAGTTGTATCTTGAGTCAATATGTTTTGAGATACAAAAGAGATTTAACCAGTGACCAGAGATCAGAGGGACCTACTACCATAAAGAAAGAAGAGCCGGGAGCAAAATGTATCTTTTGGACCTGGGGTCCCTGGCACTGTGAAACTCCTAGACCCAGAAGGAAGACTGATGACAAGGCCCTTCCCTCAAAGCCAAGAGAGAGAGCAAGCCTTCTCTTGGATTCAGAATTCTAGCCTTCTAAACTGTGAGAAAATAAATGTCTGTTAAAGTCATCCACTTGTGGTATTTCTGTTACAGCAGCACGAGAGAACTAAGGCAGTTATGTAACCCACTCACACAGGGCTCCTCTGAGGCGCCTTGAGCATGTTTCTCCTGTTTCTAACTCCTGTACACTGAACAAATGCTTCCTATTCACTTTGTACTTTTTTAAGTTGTTTGCAATCGTTGTAAGAGATATGCTTTAATTTTGTAACTAAAAATACACTGTATCTCTATTTATCTATCTTTCTACCTATCTATTTACCATTCTGCCTTTGCCACTCTTACTTAACTGTGTGCCATTGGGAAAAGATATTTTTACCACCTGAATGATTTACACATGCCATCTGTATTACCAGTTCTATGGTGATATCTCTGAAATATTGTTTCTGCATGATATGGTGTAAATGTTGGATGCATTACCTTAACCTTAATTGAGTAGAAATACTCAATGTCCTCATCTATAACAAAGTTAATAACAGTCTTCTCTTATTATGGTTGTTGGGAAATTTAAGTGAGGTTGTTGTTAGGTGCTGTCGAATCAGTCCCAACTCATAGTGACCCTACGTACAACAGAACAAACAGTGCCCTGTCCTGTGGCATTCTCACAATGCTTGCTATACTGGAGCCCATCACTGCTGCCACTGTGTCAATCCATCTTGTTGAGGGTCTTTGCCTTTCTTGCTGACCCTCTACTTTACCAAGCCTGATATCTTCTCCAGGCACTAATCCCTTCTAACAAACGACCAAAATTCGAGAGATGAAGTCTGGCCATTTTCATTTCTAAGGAGCATTCTGGCTGCACTTCTTCTAAGACAGGTTTGTTCATTCTTCTGGCAGTCCATGGTACATTTTCAATATTCTTCACAACCACCACAATTCAAATACAGCAATTTTTCCACAGTCTTTGTTATTCATTGTCCAGCTTTCACATTCATACATGCAAAATGCTTGGCACAGAATAGTTACCCATTAAATGGGAGCTATTATCCTAAACTTACTAGGGCAGGAAGGATGGTTCCTTTGCATTTCTAGGTCTCAAAGATTAAACAGAGTCAACAAGCTGCCTTGAAGAGTTTGTCTGTAGACAACACTTGTGACCCTACCTGTCTTATTGAAAAAGTAACCATTTCCCTAAATCTTTAGTCACCCCCAGGAAAGGTCAGCCTGGTTTAGTGACAGATATAAATTGGAAGGGGGGGAAAAAAAAGGTGGGATTTTAGAAAGTTTGATTTCTTTCAAACCTAGGTGAGTATATTGCTGACAGGGACTAGGGAGTGAAAAGAGTGCTTTGAATCTTAGAGAATCTTGTAAAACATTTTAACAAATATATAAGAATCCTATATAATTGGCACACGCTTTGTTTGAATGCAAACACTGCTGTTAAAGTGGTGCTTAAAAACAGTTTGTTGGCCTTCCCTCCATACAGGAGAAACATTTCTCTCGTTTACAGTACTCACTTGCTTAGCAAACTCTTATTTATCCTATAATGCAAGCATAGTCTGGCCAACATGTCCAAATGCCCACAGATTCTGAATTAGTGGAGTCTGAATTAACGGAATGTTATGCTATCTCTCATGGAGAACTATGAGCATGGGAAAACTACCCACTCTAAGAGTTTCAAGAACACTCTAAGAATATTAACCCTTATCCCCTCTTTCCTATCTTTTCTTGCTTCTTGTGTCTTGGATCTGATTTTTAAAGAAGACGCAGGAAAAGAGACTCAAGTGTGCATTCTTAGGACATCTGAATAGTTATTTATTGAGGAGCCACAGTTTTCTACACTTTCATAACTGTAGGCTTTACATAAGGCAAAAGCAAGATGGAACCACTACTTTACACAGAAAGAAACAGCTCTGCAGAGGACTCCAGGGTCGTTCAGTGACAGATCAAAATGCAATGTACATGACAGATATAAAAAACATTGTGGAACAAAATAATTTAAATTATGGTTACAATCTACTGAAGGAATATCCATATCTTATTATAAACACATTTATAGTCTAGGGTTGTAATTTAAATATTCAGGTTTATTTTTTACATACATAGTTATTGAAACTTAAAAGCAAAATGTTAACATTTAATAGGATGAACTGTGACAGAAGACAGTTGCTCTGAACTGTGCTTGATGGTAGATCATGATAGGATTGCCCTTGCTGTGGCTTTGAAGAGCATCAATCCATTGGTATGCAGCCATCCTTTTTTTTTTTTTTTGGCTAACTACATGGATGAATGAAAGGATGAGTTAACATCCTTTGGATGTTTTGGCTAACTACATGGATGAATGAAAGGGTTCGTATTTTAGCTTTAGGGGGGCAGAAAGAACCCAAAGTTGTTATTGGAGCCTTGCTTTTTGTTTATCAAAAATCAAAGCAGATCTATGCGTCTTAATTAAATTAATTTATGTAGTCATTTAAATAATTGGCATCCACGTACATGACACAAATGAAAGTAGTTTGTGTACTCGCCCTCACATCCATTTACTGTCAATGTATACACAGTATAGTAATGAAGCATCACTTAACTTCACTTATAATAGGGACACACCTAGCAGTTGGATTATGTATTCTCCATGAACAGTATTTAAAGAATGGTGCTCCATATTGCTTGTAAACATATAGACATGGAATTGGGGCATCGGTGGATTTAAAGGTCATTTGCTAATCTTGGTACCACATAGCTAAAATGGCAACTGTATTGGTAAACATCTCATGGGCATGGGAGTTGACAGAAAATTCCCTAATGGGTTAACTAACAGACTAAGGACATGCATTGGTTACAGTGCTCCCTCCCAGCAGGCTCTAGGATCCAATGGTCTAATGGTCTAATCGTCCTCTTCGTCTTCCTCGTCGCTGTCCTTCATGCTGATCCCCTGCAGGCCCCCACCTTCACTCACTGAGGCCGTGGCTTCCTCCACAGTAAGACGGTTTCGGATGGTTTCATAGGTCTTGCTGTTTAAGGTCGAGTCCAGGACCCCTTGCAATCGGAAATCTCTATAGGTTTTCTAAGGAAGGAAAAGATGCAGTGATAAGGGGGATCTCATCTCCACTATGGGAAGGGAGAGGACGCAAAGCAAGCGTGGGTGTGAGAGCACTGACCTGAAGCTAAGTGTAACCCTTTATGTATTGTCAGCTACAAAGCCACCATATTCAGGTTTCATTTGTACTGAAAATCGAGAATCGTTGAATGACAGAAAATGAGAAATTGTGACAGGATAAACTATTAGCTGAGACAAAGCAAAGAACATAAGCTGTGTTTATTCAGTTCCATAAAGGGAAATGTTCCATAATTGTTTTGGTTCCCCCTTCTCCTTTTTTTTTTTTTTTTTTTGGTCTGGTTATTTTGCTTAAGTTATTATAATATAATAAGATAGACAGTGTAAGGGGCTATAACATATAAATAATGGATCAAGTGATTATGGTATTTTGTGATTTCTGTTGCAGTCTGGTCTTTAGTATTTCTGAGGCTTTTAATTGCATGAGCCATATCCCCCTGTCTCATTCACAAGACAGACATATGTATGTTGATATATGGAACTTATTATGGGCAGCAACAATTATGGGGAAGACGGAGCACTAATGCCTCATCAATATGTTGCAGGCATGTGACTCACTTCTCATCTCCTTGGGAAAGAGCTGTGTCTATTCTGTTCACAACTTCATGGTCTCAGGGAAAAAAATTGGCTCTTTTTCAAGAATGATGGTTTGGTATTACTGTGCCACAAGTTCTTTCTTTGTTCCTTCAGGCAATTTCTCTCGGATTTCCTTAGGTATCCCAGGGACTGTTTCTCTAGAAATCCCTTAGCGTTAATTGAACATGACCAGAAGCATCTGGCTGTTGTCTACTTTATAAATTTTTTAAAAAAGGTTTCTCTGTAACTATAATTCTTCTCATCACACTGCATATCATTTCAGCTTCTGATTCTGCTATTTGTTTCTCTTTATTGATATGGGAAACTTGCTAAAGGTGCAAGAGAAGGGATGTTCACATACTTTGATGCCACTCCCAATATAATTTCCGTTTTTAGCATTCTTTTTAATGCAGTCAGCGATCACAGTGTCAACCCCTCTTGAAGGTCAGATGTTGTAATCACTGTAGAGTTAATGAGTGAATGCAATTTGGCTTAATGAAGTCCAGTATCATAAAATTATGGATAGAAAAACCACAAGTCTTGTTTTCCAGTTTATGCCTATCCCAGACTGATTATTAATAGTGCCTTTTTCATTCTGAAAAGTTTAGACAATATAAATTATAAGGTCATCCTAATTATGCATCAAGCTTTGTAGCTCCCCTCAGAGGAGGAAGCTAGGTAGCTACTGAGCTGTGTCTTAACCTTGAGGGGAAAGGGTAGGAGGCGGAGGAAATGCTAGGCATGGTGTACACCAGATGGCCAGGTGATTCGCTTGATTGTTTTTGTTCTTGTCACTTAGAATAACATAACTGTTGCCAGAATAATTCAGGGAGAAAAAGGTAGAAGAGCTTGAATATTCTCCCCTTTAATCAGATTCTAGAGCCGTGTGTTCTCCAACTAGATTCTAAATGCTTTAAGGGCAAGGGCCACATCTACTCATTTTCTAATCTTCCATGTTCTGAAATGAGTAAGTAAGGGTTCCACTAATATCACAAGGATAAACTAGTAAATGCTTGCTGAATAATGAAAGAATGAATGAATGAATGAATCAGAAAGGAAGCCAATTATTCTTGGAAGTTTGCCCTAGAGAGGGAGACCTCTGGGTGATATGCTTGGCAAGCAGGTAGTGATTTCTGTTTTCTATCTCTGTGTTTTGGCACCCACCAGTTAAGCTACACCCACTCTTGGCAAAAGTGGAGGGGTCCCTTTGGCCATGACATTTCAGTGTCCTTTCCTTGTGGTTCATGCCTGTGTTTTTTGGCAGAAGGATAAGAATAAATCTCTCCGATTTATATTTGTTTTCTTAATAAAATACAGCAAGTTCTAACATTCACAACATAGATCTGGAAATATCAATAATGAAAAGATATTTTAAAATATTCAAATTATATGCCTTCTTCTCATGTCCACCTAAGGAAGGTCGAATGGAAAATTTCCCCAAATAGTGTTTATACCCAGAAAATGGAATTCAAATGGTCAGGTCAGCGAGCCTGTCTTAAGGAAATGAAGTAAAAAATATGAAAATTAGGCTGGGTCCCTAGTCCAAGTACATATATTGCTTTTTTAAAAATTGCAGTATACTGCTGTTTATAACCTTCCCTGGGCTCACTCTTTGTAAGATCAAATGCAGATGATAATAATTCTCCTTAATTACACACAACCGAACAGTAATTGGTTTTAAGTCAGCACTGGGGTAGACGAGCACCTTCAGTGAAATGTTGCTAATCCGCAAGAGACTAAGAAATAGTGGGGAGAGGGGGATAGGAGGGAGACTTTTGGCAAACTGTTAAGAAACAGAAATTCAGCTATGTTTTATTGTTAAAACATTTTAAAGGAGACTGTGCTTTGAATAAGATTTTTACATGTGTATGTTTTAAAACCCTCTATGGTGAAGCATCAAATGGAAACTGAAATGATCAAAAACGTATTTACCCCCTTCTGTGATCTTATTATTTCATGTAAACCACTGAGAATTCACGCTGAAATAATTATCATTAGTCCAAGGCGCACACACACGAACAGGAAAAAAAGCTACTTTCAGGGTATGTTATCTCACCTTTGTGATCCTTTACATTTGATTGTATACACGCATTGTAAGAGAAACTACTTCAATTAACTATGAGAACAATATTGATTTGCATTTTCATCATTATCACAGGACATATTTAGAAATAGCTGGAGGTAAATATTTCTATTAAATTAATTGTGGCAAAATTTTTATTCAATTAAACCATAAATGTAATTGGTAATTGATGTGATTAGCTAGTGATACCAAATGTCAGCTTTTGAAAGTCTAATGCAAATGGTATGATGGCCTCTGAAGTATTTTTGCATGGCAAATGCATAAAGTGTCTTTCTAGTCTGGATTAAGAGTTCCAGTTCCTTTTAATTAAATTTTTCTTTGCTGTCTGTGTAAGAAATCAGCCATGCATCCCAAAGTCACTCTATAGGTTTGACTTGCATGAGATACTCTTAAGAGATCATCTTATTTTATCTGTCAAATGCCATTCTCTGTGTTAAGTTCTGCAGCTTGCTAATGAAACATATTTTGGTAAGTTATCTGTAAAGAAAAATAATTATGTTTTCTTTTACCTTTACCATCCTAATTAGAGTTTTCAATTGATATATGTGAAGCTGTAAGTCCATCCGGTCCGTCAACCAGGTGCAGATCACGTTCATGGAGCTGTTGTACCATTGCTGAAAAAAGAGACAAAAGTTCTCCAGCCAACACATCATGGAGAGTTTATAGAGCAGAGAGGGAATGGGCCCCTTCTGAGCACCTCATTCTGTTCCAAGAGGAAACTAGAATGTTAAAGAGAATTTGAGAGCAAAGAGATCATGAACATTTAACTTGTACCAACTCACAAGATGCTGGATCAGCCTAAAAGAGATGCGTTTGGAAATGGAATTTAAATCAGAACTCTCCCACCATAAACATTTTGTAGACAGTCAATTCATAAAGACCATCTTGTTGCTTTTCTGATTTCCGTTTTTATTGGGTCATTTTACTCAGTTGAGATTCAAGCAACTGTATATTTCCTAAAGCCATTGTCTCAGGTGCCCAGAAAGATGGGGGCTTCTTCACTGAACCAAATGATGTCACTTGCCACTTACCTTCTGAAAAATCCAGACCCCATTTGTTAAATGCAGCTCTGGGAATCAGGCTGAAAGCCCTAGGAATTTAGGGCAAAGTTTACCTTCATTTACGCTAGTGGGATATTCCAGACAAAGACAATGAATGAAGGTTTCTCTTTAAGGGCAAAACTCTACTCTGGGCAGCTTATGTGCCCCTACGTTGGCTCTGCAATCTGTTTTAATCTTAACACCAAAAAATTATGGAAGATAAGAGAGAAAAAATCTACAAATGAGCTCATTTCAAGCTGTTGAAATCATACTTCCCCTTAAGGGGGTTAAATTTTGCTTCTTGTCTGTGAAAAATGCTTGAAGCTGTGTCACTTTAGACTGCCACCCCTGTGGTGCAGGAAGTCTCTGGTGCGGTATAATTTTGCAGTACTGCTCATATATTCATAAATCTCACTCGGAGACATATGAACAGTGTTATAAAGTGTCAGTATGAAAAAAAATCTAATCTTTTAAACTTCACCAGGTTTCATTACGCTCTGCTGCTTATACCAAACAATTTACAAATAAAATGAAAAGGTGTGGATGGACCTATATATTTATTTATAGGGCTTATATATGATCTATACACAAAAAAGAAGAGTGGTTAGATAATTCAGATGATGCATGTTCTCATGCTAACCAAATACACACATGCACGCACACAGGCACACACACATCACACACCAGTAAGGATTTAAAAAGCATAAATAAAAACATGTTTCTCATGGTAACTCCACCCTTTCTCACCTAAAGATCATCCAAAATCAGTTTATGCCTAACACTCACAGTTTTACTGAAGCCTTGTTTCTGACTTAATTTGTTTCTTTCTTTTTTCTTCTTCTTTTTCGTTTTTTTAAATTAATTTGGGTTTTTACTTGCAAGGTATAACTGCCAAGTTTCACCTTGCAAGAAACGACACAGTCTCAGCCATGGCGTTCAGAAACCTCTTTGCAATCTCTCATTTCTGGGCTCCTTGCGCAGCTGAGCCAATCGTGGCTCTCTTTGGAGCCCAGCCGCAAAGACCACACTACCCCAACCCGATGCAGCTCTGCAGCCTCACAGCCAACTTCTGCTCTTTTAAAGATCATGGATTCTAAACTGTCAGTTTTAGGAACCTTCTGTCCCTCCCCAGGAGCAGGTGGAAGGGTGTGGAGGTGGTAGAGGGAGATTTTTTTTTTCCGTGAGAATTGCAGTTCACTCCATGGAGAGGGGCGTTTTCCAAGGTCAAGCTGCTACCAGCGTGGACAGGTTTTCCCCCCTAGGGGCGAGAACATTTTACCGGAACTTTTTTTTTTTTTTTTTTGGTAGTGGTCTTTAGGGTTGGTGCCAACTACCCTGGATTCTGGAGCACTTGCTGCCACTGAAGCTGGATTTGTTCAGAAGCGCAGGACAGGAGTATCACTGGGTCACTGGCGTTTCTATAGCCCTAGCTTATTCTATGCAATTTGGGGACTCCCTGTTGACCCCAGGCCACCAATTCCATTCTCCTTGGCTGCATCTGACATGCCTTAGACTATGAAGAGCAACCTGGGGCCCAGATAATCTATTTTGAGGGTCATGGGCAATGCTTCCCCTACCCCCAACACCTCCCGAGGTTGGAAGATGACCTTCACGGAATCCTGTCCTGGCCAAACCCACGCCCCCAGGGCTTTAGGATGGCTGAATCTCAGGGACACAAAAGAAGAATGTGGCACTCTGGCTTCTAGGCAGAGGTGGCATTTTGCTTTGGCTGTGACAACAGGCAAACCGCGCTGGCTGATATCACTGCCAGCAAGCCTTGTGCGACATGCCTTTTTCTCTTTGCTGAGAGACATGCCACCTTTCAGGAAAAAAAAAATGCTGCAGAGCCCCCTTGCATTTTATGTAACCATCTCTCATTCTTGCAAATGGCATTTGGTTAGTAAAATAATAATAATAATAAATAAAAAGGCAGAACGATATCAACACGTTTGCTCTGTTGCTGAAAGGGTAGGGAGGTAGGAAATGCATACGGCAACGGATCAGTGCAGCACAATCACAGATTCCCACTCCATGAGAGCAAGAAAGCCCTGGAACATCCATGCTTTCCCTCCTGGATCTCACATCTAGCAAAAGAAGTGTAAAAAATGTATGATGCCCCATTGGCTACACATTTAAAGAGGCAAAAGGGAGTAAGGCACTCCTTTCCAAACCGTATGCTCAGTAGATGAAATTGGAGGCACTTTTGGATGCAGCACAGCGCTAACTTAGTTTTCCAGAAAGGCGCTTAAAGGCATTTGGATGTCACAGAAAGTAGGAGGCAATGGCGTCTACAACTTTAAAATGTTAGAGGTAAAAGGGATCTTCCATATTTTCCTTCGCAGAGAAGCAAACAAAGGCCTAGCGAGGTGAACTGGCTTGCCCATGGTCACACAGCCTGTGAATCCAGAAGTGGCAGTTCCCTAGGATAGACACTGGATTAACATTTTGCTGGTCATGAGAGTGGACATGATGCATCTCTTCCCAACTCTTCAGGGATATCAGATAGCTAGCTAGAAATAGGCCATAGTGGGAGTATTACACCATGTATATCAGCAAAGGCTGCAAACCTGGTCTTTCCCGTCCCAGAAAGCCAGGGGTTAAACATTTATCAACATACTACTGGGTGTCTGGGTTATCCTTGCTCTTCCTCATGGGGCTCACAGTGCTTATTAATCAGGTTTGCTTTATTTGAGATCGATGCTAATGCAGCAGATTTGTTATGACTCTTTAAAAGAGGAAATTAATAAAACATTTTTAGAGTCCTCATTTTGTTTTGTCTTTGGTTCAAATATGCCTTTTTCCGAGCTATTCTAACACCTGGGCACTCAAATTTTGGAAAAATGTATTCTAAACCCATAGAATCAAAATAGTGAGCTGACAACATAACATGTACTAAATATTTAAGTATAATCACACCTCCTTTGCTGCCTCTATCTAGTTTAGGTATATGGCTTTAAGATTTCCTGAATAAGGTTGCTTAAATCCTAAAAAAATCAGCAGAGAGATAAAATCCTTAATACTCTGGGAATCTTTAAAATATACTCTCTGGGGAGAATTCTGTGAAGATTTTAGACTTGGGACTCTGAACACACCCATCATATCTATGCCCTGCCTAATAACAGGGCTGTTGGGAAGGGTTTGCTCCTCCAGTAGCTGCAACCAGATACGAAGGCTTTGTTTGAAAGGAACCAAAGGGGACTCTGGTAGCGTAATGCCTAAGGCATTTGACTGCTAACCAGAAGGCTGATCATTCAAACTCACCAGCCATTCCTCAGAAGGAAGACTGGGCAATCTACTTCTGTAGAGATTATGCCTCAGAAACCCAAGGAGGGGTCACTGTGAGTTGGAAACGACTTGATGGCAGTGAGTAGAGTATTTGAAAGGAGTTGAAAGTGGTTAAGAGCACAGGTCTTAATACAGACCTGGATTTGGGATCTTAGACAAGTTACTTACATTCTCAGAGACTCAGTTTCCTTATTATAGAATGGGGATTAATTAGCCTTCCATAGACTCTTTATAGTGATTAAATGAGATAATGGCAGTACTTGGCACATAATAAGGCCTCAACAAATGTCAGTAGCTGCAGCTGTCACCACAGGTACCACCACCACCATCATCACAATCATCATCTCTTCCTTCTTGTCTCAATTCCTCAACCTGAGAGAAAACAAGGGAAGAATCAGAACAAGTTACCAGGGAAAGCCTTTTGGTGGTGGTGGAAATTATTCCCGCTGGAATATTTCTGGAATTGTATGTATGTTTTAAATGATATATCACTATCTCTCACCAAATGCAATTATGTTGTCAAGCCGCTTTGTGGTAGTTCCTAGCGCAAAGCTGTAAAACTATCTTGGGTATGATAAAGCACATTCTAGACTATACTGAGCTAGATTGAAATTTTGGATTAAAAGAATTCAGACAAACAATGGGAGATTTCTTACATCCTGAGAGGATACATTACAACTTCAGCCTGTATTGGCTACTTGTTGTTATTGTCTGCCCTGGAGTTGATTCTGACTCATGGCGGCCCCATGTGCTAGCTGGATAACCTCAAGCAAGCTACTTAATTCTCTAATCTTCAGTCCCCTCCTGGGTTAATAACAGTACCTACTTCCTAGGATTACTGTGATTCTTAAAAGATTATTTATGTAAAGTGCCTGGCAGAGTGCCTGTCACATAGTAAGTGCTCAATAAAACTTAGCCACTATTGTTATTATCACTCTCAGATACATAACAGATACACTTTCGATGTACAAAGGAATGTTCTTGATCCATTTGTTGTAGAAGCTTAGCTCATTAACATGCAGATATACTCACATTCTGCCCTATAAACACGCTGACACCATGCAGAGAAATCCTTACAAATAAAATGTCTCCTTTGTAGCAGAGGAGTTCATTACAGCTGGGTTTAGGGTGAGGTGAGTGAGTCAGGGTCATGCAACTGCAGCATCAGACTTTGATATTGTATTCATCCTGGATTTTTTTTCTCATCAATTTCTATTTTAAAAATATTTACATTAAACTTATTATTTATCGTAATAGCTATAATTTTTGGCTCCGTCTTAAATGTTACA